GATTTCAGGCAGTGTACAGGGTTGTGGGCTCGATCCCCAGCAGGGGACATGCAGGAGACACCCAATCCATGATACTCCTCATAGTTAATGTTTCTATCTCTCACTCCTTCTCCCTTTCTCTCTCTGAAATCAATAATAAACATATTTTAAATACAATAAAAAAGAATATTTAGTTATCTGGATTATGTCGATACATTTTGTTAAAAAAACAAAGAAGCAAACAGAGAAAGACAGAGATCCAGACTGGCAGGCACTGGGATATACCCAAATGCCGGCCATGGTTATATCTGTGTGGCAGCATTGCAGGAGATTTTTTTCTCTTTTAAGTGTGTGTGCTTTCCCCTATTTTTCCAAATTTTCTACAGTGTTATCATTTATTACTTTTGTAACTAGAAGAACAATAAAAGTTTTTTAAATTTTCTTTTGCTACTAGAAGAAATCTCATTCGTATAATCTGTGCTACATCTGTCCAGTGAATGTTCTATGCTGTGCTAAATTCAATAATTTAAGTTGGCCTTATACAAGGTTGAAGTTGATAGTGTGTAGTAAAGTGTGTACCCAGGTCATTTTATAGCCTCCACAGATAATGCTCTATTATCTTGGATCAAACTTAGTTGCCTTAGCCTAAGTTTCCCATTCTTCTAACCTTCCCTTTCCTTCACCCACTCCCATCCCACCACCAATGCATGACAAAGGAACAAAAAACATTTACATGATACCCTCACTCTAGAGAGAAAAATAAAAACATTGAACAACTTTCTAAGCTGAGTGGCTCTTTAAGGACATACTGTATAGATCTATGAGAGATAAAATGTTTACATATTTCCTCAAGAATCATATTATATTCACACATGATTCCAATTATATATAGCAAAAATTCACAGATGGGACTCTTAAATCCTAATCCAATGACTCAAAACTAAAGAATATTTTTTTAAACCAACAAAACCTTACTAAAGGGAACTGAGTGACTCACGCAGGCCTGCTAAAAGAATCCAGAGCATTGCATTGCACACTTGCATTATGAGAGAAAAGTACTGGATGCAAGAGAGAAGACAGGGTCTGGATGATGTGAGGCTGCTAGCGAGGGATCCAAAGCCTGAGAGCTCCTTGAAAACCTGCTGGGCACAGGGCACCACATGAAGGAAGAGCAGACAGGCCTTCATGTTTTCAGGAGGGGATGAAACTAACCCCAAAATAGCAGCTAAATGGTGACAGTGGGTCCTTGGAGGCTCATCTGGATACAATCTCCTCCCAGGGCCCCATAAAAGGAAAACAACAGCATTGGAAGGGCAGATGACTCACCTGTTTTTGGAAGAGGGTAACTAATATTAAATAAATCTTCCAGAAAAGAGAAGATGGGGCCTGTGATGTTCAAAGCAAAGTCTGCATTTCCATTTGCAATGGCGTCTTTCCGAGCCCAGATGCGTATCTACATAAAAACAATTGAGCAGTTATGAGAAAAAGCAGTATTGGAAAGTGGCAGCCTGCTTGCTCCAATTCCCTGATACTCTAGACCAGCGGTTCTCAACCTGTGGGTCGTGACCCCTTTGGCAGTCAAACAACCCTTTCACAGGGGTCGCCTAAATACATCCTGCATATCAGATATTTACATTACGATTCATAACAGTGAAATTACAGTTATGAAGTAGCAACGAAAATAATTTTATGGTTGGGGGTCACCACAACATGAGGAACTGTATTAAAGGGTCGCGGCATTAGGAAGGTTGAGAACCACTGCTCTAGACTCTAGAGCCAAAGTCACACTGTTTCACAAGAAGCGACATAACAAAACATTTAAATGCTTATGCACGCTGAGAAAAGCCCAGAACGCTCTTCTCTGAATTGTGAACAGTGGCTCCCCCCAAAAGTGTGTTATTTCAGTCTTTTGCAATAATATGTATAACTATTGTCACCCCAAAACAATCTGTGCCTACCCCCATGGAAAATGTAGCTTCTATGTTAGAGAGTAAATGGGCACCTTGGGCCCTTATTTCCTGGTTCTAGACATATTTCCAATGTCCCAAAAAAGAATTGTGTGGTTAGTGAGGGTTATACAGTATGGTACACATTAAACAAATTTGAATCGTGCCAACTTAAAATGGTTTGTTAATGAAAACATTAATAGTCCCATCTTACTTTCAAAACTTAGAATACGGTAATTTCCCTGATTTTAAAAAGTTCATCAAAAGTTTTATGATTTTATAGTTGTTGAAGCAAGTAAATTATATTCTGTTTATATATATAGGAGGTAAAAAGAAATCCCTGCCATGTTTTATTAGTTTAATGTAACCATGTTGTTTGGGCACTTGGAATTTTTTTGCATAATTTTGGTGACTACTGTTGTTTTAACATTGATTATTATTTTAATATGAAATTATTTTATACCCCAAAACAATGCCATCTAAGCACTTTTTAATGGAGTTGCTAGTGTTAATGTTAAAGAACATGTATGAAACTCAATAACCCTGAAACGAAAAGCAGAGGAAATTAAAATAATTGTACTGATGTGAGTACAGTTAATTTGAGAAAGATCTCTCTGCAAAACATTAGGGAAAATGCTAAGTAAATGAAAAACAGCATAACAATATTTGCAAATTACTGCCCTTCAAGAACACATTCACTTTACTTTGCTCTAATTTCTGCTAGAAAAATGTGTCTTGAAGCACACACATTTTGAATTATGTGAGATCTTCAGGAATGCTCCCCTTTCACAGCATGTAACCACCTGCTTTTGAAGCCTTCTGCACTGATCCCCTGACTCCTTCCAACCTTCCCCTTGCTGCCGAGGTCTCATTACCCTCGGGAAAATGGGCCCAGGACTCAGCCCTACTTCTACAATAAACTTACCCTCCCCAACTCTAGTTCTAACTTTTGCATCAACAGAAAGACTACTAACCCAAAGCGCACACTACTGAGTGAAAAGAACCATCTCCTCTCCCCACATTCAAGATAATGAATGCATTTTAATTCATTTAATTATTTGGAAAATAATGGCAATAACAATTAAAGTCTCTATGTTAATTTTTAGTCTATAAAGCTCCTCCTATCAACTACCATTCCATAAGCCAAGAGGCAGGCAAATAATGGAGATTTCTATCTGGGTGTGAGGGGTGAGTGGCCCAGGTAGAGCAGCAAGGAGCACTTGGAGATGTAGCCATAAAGTTCCTTCAAAACCATAGCTAGTCCACGAATGTGTTCTTGTGTGGCCCTCCTGATACACAGCCAACCTCAGCATCTAAGAGAGAGGAATGTCTTTGCGCATACCCATGTGTGCTAAATTCTACTTAAAATGTGTTATCTCCAACCTTAATTCTGTGTTTCCTATGTTTATCCTCATGCCACACATTAATCACATTTTCAATTTCACTAAGTTTTCTCCTACTTGATGAGTAATTTTTATACAATCTTGGCGTTATTCCAAGGGTACATTCTAGTTCTCCTGTAGAGTATACAGGACCCCTTCATTGTAACACTGAGCCTTAGCCAAATGCAACATTCCACTGATAAACTCATCCCAAATTTCAACTTTCTGGCTGACAACATTACTTTCTTAGGCATTTCCTCTTTGCTTCTATGGCAGCTGGCTTTCTTTTAGGGGGAATCTTTCATTAAGGAACAGATTTGATGCTTTTCTGAGACTTGTTCGCTGTGCAGTAGCATTGAGAGCAACAAGCCACTTGAGATGTGGATGCTGACAGAGCGCTTTGGGTCACTCGTGTGCTCTGGAGCCCACTCCTTCATGTCAGACACAAAGCGTGTGCTTTCAAATCGTGCCTGAGTATATTGATGAATATAGATGTCATGAAGGTTTGACGTGGCCAATGTTATATCTGTGAACATCAAGGATTTACCGGTGATTATTCAATCCAGAAAATCAGGCTGGAGCCAAGAGCTGAGGGAGATAACGAGCCGCTGTTTGCATCCAGCACGGTATTTCCAATTCATCATTAGGAGTGCAAAAGGAGTAACTATGAGTGATTCTCCCCCTGATGACAGACTTGGCTCATCTTCAGCTTCCTTGTCTCCACAAGTAGGAGACAAAGTACGAGCCCAAGAGAGAGCCTCAGCCAGCTGTAGGGCCGAATCTTTCTCAGCCCAATGAAGTCAGTCTGACCAGAAAGAACCAGGACTACAGCAGTGGCCTTACTTGCCTCCACACTCTAGCATAGAGAGTGAACCAGTATACAAAGTATTGGGTACTTCCCCCAAGGATTATTATGTAATGAAGATATCATTGGGAGAAAACTAGGTATTTCAGGACAGAGCACCTATTTTATACAAATCTGGAGAAGTGTTATGAGCTGCAGAGCTGAGGAAGCCAACAGCCCTGCTTCTCAGCAGGGATGGTATTTAACCTGCACGTTCCATCTCAGCCACAGCACTGTTCCCAGCTGGGTCATGCTTGTGCCACACTGAGTATCACTCAGCTTCAAAGCTGAGTTATAGGGAGGTAAACAACAGGTAAACCTGAGCTTCAAGGCGCTAGTACGTCAGTTCTCCCTGTTCTCCCTTGTCCTCTGAAAGGCAGCAACAGCCTGGGAAGAGGGGGCTCTGAACTTGCCTTGAGTGGACTTAGTGTGTAGCCTTCCATGGAAACCCCTCCACAGAGCTATAGCGGGGATTATGTTTCATTCCTCAAAGCCACACTAAGAGCTTGTAAAGGACTTGGAAAAAGTTGGAGTGAGTACCAGGAGGGGACGATGGGATCTGTAGCCACGCTCCCAGATGCAGAGAGAGTGGATGAACACTCTGCAGCCCGTACAAAGATACCCTTACCTGGAGACACTTCCTTACTCACCTCCTTGCCCCTTTCAGTTCTGTTGACATGGTCATAGTCACATATGACAAATGCAGCTAAATAAGTTGGCATGCGGGGTGTGGTATGAAAGGTGGTAACTGTCCATTTGCTTCCATTCACATCTTTTTCAGACTGACCTGGAGAAATTTATTTTAGTCCAAAATCACCATAAACCTAAGTAACAATATCTACCTTTAAATTAATTTGTCAAGTTGACTGTCACCTGGCTACTTCTTCCCAACTATGTCCCACAGTCTAGCAGTTTGTATTTCTCTAACCCTAACTTATCAAGACCACATTGGGAAGACCTAAGGACAGCATCTTAGTCCTGAATTAGTATGTTGAGTAGCTGGTCTTGACTGAGGGCCACATCCATGAGCACTCTAAGTTAGGCCCCATGTAGAGACTAGACATTGGGTGGTGAGCACACAATGCAATAAACAGATGATGTATTATAAAACTGTATACCTGAAACTTATATGTTATTAACCAATGTTACCCCAATAAATTTACTTTTAAAAAAGAAACAGGATTTATTATCTCCAAAATGTGGGTGCCGCCACATATCCCATGTGACTGATCTTCCTAACTATAATACACTACCAGCATATTGCATAGAAAAGCTATTGATTTAAAAGCTATTACAGAGTTTATATATATATATATATATATGCATTTGTCAATATATATATATTTGTCTATATATATATATATATATATAGAGAGAGAGAGAGAGAGAGAGAGAGGAAACATTACTTACGTAGCTTTGGCATGTTGGAGAGAGCCACATAACTCGGATGATGAAAATTGTAATATTAAAAGTGCTTTCAGAGCTGGTTCATCAAAACAAGGGAAAACATTCCTGGCAAATGTTGGTTCCATCTGAGATGCTAACAGGGCCCTAAAATACATTTTGGGGGAAAATCTATTTAGTTTTATCTCAAACTAGTGGGAGAAAAAACTACTGAGGTATTATGGCTTATAATTATATACAGGAAGGAGCTATAATGTTTTCCCCTCATTTCCTTTGCTGCCCTCCCCATAACACACACACACACTGCAATTCTCACAAGACCAAAATACAAAAGAACTATTTAATTTTCAACCACAAAATAATATTTACTTCATTACATCATATGCCTTTAAAACCTTTTACAAACAAAATAGGAACAAAAATAACAAATATGCAATGCCAGGCTTTTGAAAACCAAGTACTTTTTAAAATGGAATTATTGTTTTGGGAATGGTCTATTGCTTTTATCTTCCATTGAAATGCAAATCAGCTGAAACATGTCTATATTTTTATCTTTTGCTCACATGTTCCCTCTTCTTCCTGGTTGAAACATACAAAATGTTTTATTTTGAACATTCTTGAGGGATAAACAATGTAAGTAAATGCTTATACAAAACAACCTGCATTTTACTTTTGAATTATCCTATATATGGATAGATTGATCAAATCCCTTACTGCTCCTTCCCCCAATCTCAATGGAAAACTACAAAAAATGACATTATCCCACTGTGCACTAGTGATTTATAGGGAAAAGCTTAGGGACAAGAGTACCCTGAGCAAACAAAGTTCACCCTTGTAAAAACTGCCTGAGTCTAACAGGTGGGTCCTAGCAAACAACCTTTTCCTCAGAATAAATCTGCAGTCTCGTTGTCCCATTTTCCCAGACTCCTGACCTGGCAACCTATCTATATATATAAAAGGCTAAGTGACCATCCAACTGTCTGGCCATCCGACCAGCTGGTACATATGATGCACACTGACCACCAGGGGCAAACACTCAATGCAGGAGCTGCTGACCTGGCAGCGGCAGTTCTGGGGTGACGTACTCCGGAACCAGAGAGGAGGGAGCCCCATTTCTCGTAGGGCCCGTGCGATTCCACCTTAGGCCGTGGGTTATGTTGTTACTGGGGCACTGTTGGCCCTGAGTCTGATTTACTATTAAAATAATTTTTAATTTAATTTTATAATACTATATCATATATACTATTTTGACATGTAATTTTTTGCAGTAATGTAATTACCACACGAATCTTTCTTCTAATTAATTTCCTTTCAATGTGCACAAATCCGTGCACCGGGCCACTAGTTTTTAGATAACAATCGTGGAGGCTATATTCCTTTTCTCTCCTGAGGTCCTGAGACCAAATGTCTCTGGCATTTACTCTTGCTTCAGGCCCCATTCTTAGGTAAGTGAGACGTGAATTAAACAAAAGTATCTCGAGAGAGCATGGCCCATCCATTGCCTACCTCTGTGGATTCCTCCTGTAGTGGTAAGGCCCCTGCTCACATAGAAATTCACACAGCTTTAGGAAGGACACACAAAAAAGTTGGCATGTTCAAAAGCTTCTCACAGTCAACTAATTTGATGTGTTCATAACCTCACTGTGACAAAAATACAATTTTTAAAAAATATATATTTTATTGATTTTTTAAAGAGAGGAAGGGAGAGGGATAGAAAGTTAGAAACATGGATAAGAGAGAAACATTGATCAGCTGCCTCCTGCACACTCCCAACTGGGGATGTGCCCGAAACCAAGGTACACGCCCTTGACCAGAATCGAACCTGGGACCCTTCAGTCTGCAGGCCAACGCTCTATCCACTGAGCCAAACCAGTTAGGGCCAAAAATACAATTTTTAACAAGCCTATTTTGCCCTACTTGCTTTTCCCCACTTTCTTATACTCTTGCTAGCATGGACTGGAATGAGGCCTATGGGCCTAACACTAGCAACTTCAGCTACAAGACTCCGCTCCATCTACTACCAAGTGAGCAGTCCTGAACAAGTCCCATGTTCTTGTTGAGCCTCAGTTTCCCCATCTAAAAAATGACAAAACTACCTATCTTTTATTGTTGTTTGAGCTTCCATGTTATTAGTAACTAAATTTACCAACAAATGATCTTTGAATTATTCTATATTCCTTCCAATCTCACAAATTGTTCTTGCTATAAATGAACTACAGAAGAATTCAAGGAGGAATAAGTTATAGGGTAGTGGTGGAGGGCTGGAAATCACTAATTACAAATGTATTTTAAAAGGTTCCAGAGGTCACAGTTGACCACAAGCTGAATATGAACCATGTCTGTCTACCCAACAAATTTTAAACTCTCAGAAGTTAAGGGTTACGTATTTTTTCTTCTGTATCATTTACAGTACTTGGCAAAAAAGGTGGGTTCATATCCATTGAATAAGTATTTTCTCAGCTTTGGAGATACTATAATATAAAGGCAGCTTGATATTAGTATGTAAATACTACAAAGTAGTTTTGCAGATTTTGCTACACTGACATTTGTTTGTTTTGTAGCATTGGTTGCTATCTTTAAAAGGGATGGGATAAAGTAGGGGAGATGCAGCAATTGAAAATCTAGTGGAAAGAATATTGAGCAGGGAATTCAGCGAGCTGAGTTCTTGCTCAGGGTCTGTGGTGCAAACACAGTGGTGTAACTTGGAGAAAATTGCTTAAACTCTTTGGGAATCCATGTCCATAAAATTCACAGATGGGACTAGGTGATCACTAAGTCCAGTTACAACTCTAAAATTGATTCTAACAGTGTTAAAGACATCCAACAGGATGGAAAAAGAGTCCACGAGGTCATGTAGGGTTGGGAGAAACAGTCCCTGGAGAGCTCACGCATGAGCTTCAGGAGATCGGTGGGCTCTCTGAAATTGCCGGACCTTTTGTACTAACAGTGATACATTAGCATGAGAAGGTGTAATGTAGAGTGAAAAAGCGCATCCAATTATGTAATCACACTTATATATTTGGAAGGCCAACAAATGCCTATTGTTTGTGCAACAAAAACTATAGAAACTAAAGCTTGATAACATCTTCTCTGATGCCATAACTTCACAAAGCATATAAATCTCAAGGAGGCTGCACGGTGGGGAGGAGGGAGAGAATCAGACTCTTTCAGGAAACGGGTAAGCACCAAAACAGGCTACAGGTTCAAAAAGGCTAAGAGACAGCCACTTAGACTCACCAGTTTAGCAAATCAAACACCAAGCAAGTGCCTCTCCGTTTCATATTCAGGTCTCTGGAGAAGTGAAATTAAACGCTCTTGGATTTTACTCAACTATTTCCCACCCTGGTTTTATACAAACAAACAAAATGGAGAAAACCCCTGCAATACAGAGTCTTTCTGGCTCTCAATCATAATTGCAAAGGTCAGAAGCAACCAGCAACACATATGATTTGGTTATGTTACATCTGGGGACCAAAGACTGGTATTTATTTCCCTTCTCTCTGCTTTGGACTGAAGCAACCCTGTAAGGAGATCCTGACCTCAGAAAACAGAACCATCCACCGCCCTCTCCTCCCTTCAGACCTCGCTGAAACATGCTATTATGGTGCCTATGAAGTCTGGGTTTAGAGGGCTCAGCTGGTGAGGGAGTTAATTTGGGATAGTGTGTCTCCTAGCAGCTCAGGATTGCAAAGCCACTTTCTTTCCTAGCCTCTTGTACAGCCGGTGGGCTTACCCCTTTCTTGTGCTGGAAGAGGTCTTAGCCGTCAAGACCACTTGATGCCCTTCGGGATAAAACTACACCATATGAAAAATATCCACTCAGTAAGGTATTTCATTCCAAATTATTCTATTACAGCTCTATTTAACAAGTGCTAAATAACACAGTGGTCAAAGATGAAATAAGACTCCTTGGAGAGTTGTCCCCAATTTTTTTTTTACATGACACACTCAAAATATTTAGTAGAGACAGATGTTATACCACTGGACTGTGGTTCAAAGATTGGCCCATGAATCATGTTTGTTTATTACTTGTGTAATAGGATCTTAACTAAAGTTTCCACCAGGCAACAATAATAATAGATGTAAAATTCTGCCCTAGCTGGTTTGGCTCAATGGATAGAGCATCAACTTGTGGTCTGAAGGGTCCCGGGTTCAATTCCAGTCAAGGGGACGTACCTCAGTTGCAGGCTTAATCCCTAGTGCTGGTAGGGGCTCATGTGTGAGGCAACCAATAGATGTGTCTCTCTCACAGTGAGGTTTCCCTCTCTCTGTCTCACCCCCTCCCCTCCACTCTCTCTAAAAATCAATGGAAAAATACCTCGGGTGAGGATTAACAACAACAAAATTCCAAAGGAAGGTGCCAAACCATGTTATGAAGATTTTCAAAGTAAATGTTCCCAAGAACCTGAGGGCTCCCCCTGGGACTTCTCAGCTATATCAAGGATAGAAAAAAAGTGACAGGAAATGAAAATGAAAAAAATCAGAGAAGAGGTTTCTGGGGATGGAGGAATGGCATTATTTGCCAAGCCCTCTTGCTCTCAGGGAGTTGGGAGGAGGTGCAACCCTCTCACCCCGAGCTAAGGGGAGAAGATCCCTCAGAAAGCAGTAGATGTGTTTACTGAGGCTGAGACTTAGAGGCTGGTGCCCAACCGACTCTTGATAAAGTTGAAATTGGCATTGGCCAGAGCCTCACTCCTACCAGGTGGGAATCTGAAAAGCAAGAGAACTGACTGCTTTGGAGGCAGAATCAGAAGGGCGCTGCTGCCTTGGGACCCATGTCAGTCCCAGGCAAGGGATGTATGCGTGCTCCTTGGAATGAGCCAGTATGGGGACTGTCTTGGGTTCTGTCCAATAGAGCCACCTGGAGGAACTTGGAGATGCACTACTCAATGTCTAGGGCAGTGATGGCGAACCTTTTGAGCTCGTCGTGTCAGCATTTTGAAAAACCCTAACTTAACTCTGGTGCCGTGTCACATATAGAAATTTTTTGATATATGCAACCATAGTAAAACAAAGATTTATATTTTTGATATTTATTTTATATAATTAAAAGCCATTTAACAAAGAAAAATCAACCAAAAAAATGAGTTCACGTGTCACCTCTGACATGCGTGTCATAGGTTCGCCATCACTAGTCTAGGGGCTAA